TTCCTAGAAATTGGAGCTGTCCAACAATGGAATAGACTACCTTGGGAAGTGGTAAATTTCCTGTCCCTGAGGACTGATGATCAGAGGTTGGGCAGAGGGTGTTGTAGAAGGGAGACTCTTTGTTATTGGTTGCATTAGCTGACTGCTGATAGCTCTTGGAACTTTGAGATTTGAGGATTTTTATGTGTAAAGAATGAGATATGACAGATCAACAGCATGAATGCAAAGTTGTGAGATAATGAAAGAACCAGAGGAAGGCCTTCAGTATATGGGTTAAAGCTTCTATGGGGCCAGACAAGGGCTGAGCAAGATAAAAAGGCATGGAAAAAGTACGCACCTCAATGAAATCATAGCAGCTAAAAAGTGTGTGCCAAGATACAAAACATGTATGTTAAGTTTCTCAAAAGTTAACAAGTTAAAAACTTGAACATTTCAAAATGAAAATAGGATGTAAATATACTACAAATCCTAACCTTTTAAAAGTAGTCTTTGTGCTCTGATCCTGACTCTGATACTTACAAATGAATTCAATTGGAAAAACTGTCAATAAGTGGCTACTACTGCTATTGCTAGGCACTGTGCTAAGGGCTGGGGATTCATAAGCAAAAATGAAATAGTCCTTGTCTTCAAAGGATTTCACTTTCTACTAGCTATATGACCTTGGGTTAAGTACTTTTATCTTTCTGAGCCTTAGGTAAAATGGGGAAACCCTTGTAAAATGGGGAAAGTAAGAGTTGTACTTTCTTCATAGATTGGCTGTGAAGATAGGTAAGATAAGATATTTAAAGCACTTTGTAAACCATAAACCTGTCATTATTTTTCCTGCAGTTTGAACACTGTTTTTGTTGTTTCAAGTTCTATCTTTGCCTCACTGTCTCCCAAGCCCAAGAAGTTGCATCTTTTTCTCAGTTCAGACATACAGATAGGATGGTTATAAAGTAAAGAAAACCAACCTCATTATTTTATAGTCACACTTACGTTTGTACTCTTCTATGTGCACAGAGGAAAATGCTGAAAATGTTATTATACTGATATGTAAAATATTACTAAATGGAATTAACTTTCATATGTGTGAAATAGCTCAGTACTGCTATTTCTTAATTAGGATCATGTGCATCTATCTCCCATTTGGTATAACAATTTTAACATAACTTTAAATTCAGGGAATGGATTAAACAGTATTAATTTCATTTAAAAAACCCAAGAGCTTAATGAGTTTTCAAATTAGGATATAACATATGTTAGATGGTGGCACCTACTGGTGGCATGTGATAATGTAACTCAGCTCTACAAAAGAAATGGAGACAGGAAGCTAAACTGTGGATTTTTTTTTAAGAGTGGAGATAGGGGTTGTAACAAATTCCTTTGTAAGAAAAGTCAGGAAGTATATGATGATAGTGGAAAAGAATAGAATTGAGGGGCGCTCCTCAGCCAAACATGTAAATCAGTCAGCAAGCATTTATTAAGTGCTTACTATTTGTCATTTGTCAGGCCCTGGGCTAAGCTCTGGGGATGCAAAGAAAGGCAAAAGCAGCGAGTTGGCCACCCTAATACCTTTCTCCTTGATCTATAGTAGGTGTTCTTAATCTTTTTGTGTGTGTCATAGTCCCCTTTGGCAGTGTGGTGAAGTCTATGGATCCCTTCACAGAATAATGTTTTTAAATGCATAAAAGAAATACATATTATTCTAAAGGAAATCCATTATATCGAAATATAGTCATCACAGTATGGTTTTTAAGTTCATGGACTATAAGTTAAGAATCTCTGATACAGAGTAAGACCTTGCTTTCTTGAAGGAAAAAGTTAGAGAAAATGTTAATTCTATTGGGAAGAACTAAGGAGATCTATAATCATTAGGAAAATGTATACTATAAATTCACAGGTCCATGCTTTTCATTTAAATGGCAGTGATTCCTATGACCTTAGGAAGTAAATCTCTTAGATTCATTCTCAGCTCCAATATCAGGTACTTGAATTACTCATTGAGATTTTGGGTGTCTGCTTGACACATGAGTTGCAGTGACAAAGAAGAATGTCGATCAGGAGTCTTACATATGTAGACAACTGTTGGGTATTTAATCTGAGCTCAGATGAAAAGGATTTATGGTGGATAAAGTAGAAAGAATGGCTAAAACAAGGACTTGTGATTAACTATGGATCCTACTCCTTTCTTATCTTCTTACCGCCCTTATTAGGACTAGTAGAAAGTGGATATTAGCTCTGGCAAGACCTAACTTTTTGTTTTTCTTGCTCAGCTGGCCAAATATGGTACAGATTTGTGAACTGGTGTGATTTCTGTCCAAAATTGATGGTTTATTCCATGCATACATTAGGGATGGACACTGCTAAGCATTCTGCTCTAAGACCAAACTCAAGCATCATAAGTACAATGGCCAGTACTTCTTTTCTGTTATCAGGATCTGTGGATCTTATTGTCCTTATTCTCCTCTGGGTATGGAGCAACTATATGGCATTTCTTTGCTTTAATTTACCTACACCTGCTTAGATATAAAAACAGAGTGGTTTGAAACCTGAGATCTAGGTGATGGGGCAGGATGAAGGAAATGTATTATATAATTCCCCATTATGCCCATTTTAATCTTTATTATGAAAGGATTCTACTTAGGAGTGCAAACATATTTCCAATCATTCTCATTTAAACCCAATTATTGTTTTATACAGCAAGAGCAAAGAAATTTCTAACAATGTCGCTAAGGTTTGACTCCATGCTTTGCTTTGCTTCTCTAAAGCTATTCTCCATTATACCTTGGTTGTCTCTCAGAATTGCTTTTGGGAATATGTGAATGAGATAGATATCTGCAATGTATTTCTTTTCAGTCTGGTTAACCAATGACTATGTACTTAGGCTTCCAAAGAAAATCAGAGGCCCTGTCTTTTCTCAGTATCTGATATTCATGAGAAAAGGCTGAGAGTTAGCTAAAAATATAAGAGTGAAATCCATGTACTGATTGGTAAGGTAGAAGTCATGACTTGTGAGAAGAATGCCTATAAATACTCCTTCAGTTAGCCTTGGATTATTTCAGTGGCCAGCATTTGCAGATATTTGTGCTGTACAGCCATTTTCTCAAAGTGATGGGCATTTCACTATTTAGTGGTCAAAGAATTCCAAATGATGATTATTTTAAGAATATATGCAATTATGTTTTAGTCATGTAAATCAGTCTAATAATAAGCCATATGTGAAAAGCTCTGGTTCAGGGCCTGGTACATATTCTAGGGTTTGAGGCTATTAGCTTAAACTTTCATGAATTTCAGTTTTTTCCTTCATTTATAGGGTTAACAATACCAAATTAAGTTGCTAAAATGGTAGCTTCTTGAATAGAGTTTTGCAAGGGATAACTAATCAGGATTGAGAAACACTTGGCAAATCTGAAGTGCTCTACCAATGCTTAATAAAAATCACTTTATCCATGCTTGTGATGAGAATTAGGGTATATTACTTTGATTACCAAAATATTAACCCTATCAGAGTTGGTACATTTTTAAGGAGGTAACATTTATTTGGATGGATAAGTATATGGAAGTCAGATGGTCAAAGTTGCTCTTAATTTAATGAGGCACTTGGAAGGAACTGCATCAAGCTGGAACCTGAGTACTACACAACTAAGTGCCCTGCATTTAATATATATGGTGCATCATCTGGGGTTACCATATGGTACTAATTCATGGAGTAATAGAAAATGTTAATTTTGCTAGTCATAGAATGACAAAGATCTGTCTGATGAGAAGCTAGCAATTAGATCAGGATGATTAAAGATCTGGGCCTGGTTCAAGAGTTTCACATGTACTTGATTACCATATAAGACAGTGACAGTTCTTTATGTTTCAGCCAAATTTCTTATTATGGAGCCAAGTCTTCCTCTCCTTCTTCCTTTCTTCCCACTTACTGCTGAAGGAATCACCATCCTCCCAGTTATCCAGTGTTACTTTAACTCTTGACTCTCACCCCTCATATTCGCTATATTGCCACTCATCTCATCTACCGCCACAACATCATATGCAGATATCGACATAGTCCTCTGATGTGGCATTTAAAGCTCATCAGAACCCAGTTCCTTCTTACCTTTCCAGTCTTATGCTTCACACTTTACAATTCAGCTCTAATGCCTACTTTCTGTACCTTATACACAAAACTCCACCTCCTATTTTTGTGTCTTTGTCCTCCTTTTGTGGAATGTTCTCCTATCTCACCTCTGCCTCTTAAAGCTTCCTTCGAGACTCAGCTCGAATTCCATCTTCTGTAGGAGGCTGTCTCTGCCCTAAGCCATTCTCCACCCCAACTACTAGTGTCTTGCCCTCTGGGATTACCTCCCATCTACAATGTATATGTCTTGTATGTACCTAGTTACACACAGCTTATGTTTGTGAGTCACTTTAGGGCAGAGACAATTTTTGCTTTCCTTTTTTATCTCCAGTACTCATACCTGCCACAAAGTGAGTGCTTCACGGGTGGTTATCAACTTATTGACTTCCGCCTTCTCTTCCCAAACCATTCTCAAAAAAATCAAAACAAAAGACAAATAGAGTACCTTCAGAATAGAGCTGAACACTGAAGTCAAAATTGAAATATTCCAAACTCATAGATCTTAACTTTGTGCTTCCCTTATTTGTTGTTGTGGTGGGATCAGAGTTTAAGTAAAATGTCTTTGAAACTTATAAATGGATGGTGGATTGCTATAGGATAGTGCTCCCCCCTAAGCAACTACTTTCATTTTCTTACCTGTGTGTATGACTTGAGGCATTTATATGATTTTTTCATAGAAACCATGGACATGAATGGATTGACCTTCCCCACGTGGTAGCTCACGGTGGAGAAGGTTATGTGAATTTAATGGGTGATTCTAATAAGTGGGTGAAGGGTGAAGTGTCTGATCAAGGTTCCATATGGAATTGCCTGGATCAAGATTCACTACTCTCCGATGGGATCACAAAAAGTGTCTATCAATCACAACATACAGAAAGAAAAAACATTTTCTTGCCTCAAGTGGGTTTGAAACTTCTGTGCTGCTGCCTTCTCAGACTTTCCACTGATGTCACTTTGGGGGCAGGGTTTAGGTGAGTAACTGTTGGAGGGAGGATTCAAACAGTGAATTGGAGGGAGTGGCTTGTGTGTAAAAGGAGATTTGTGATTGGACACAGTGTTAATCAAGATTTTTAGATCATTTTATTTGTGGGGAGGAGTTCAAGCTGAAATCATCCTTCCTGCATATGATGCACTTTTGATGAGTTTTGAACAAAATGTTGGCTTGATGGAGTATAGTATTAAAAGACAACTTATCAGAAATGTGGAAAAGTACAAAATGGAAGTGATAGTTCAAAAAATTAACTTTTTCCTTTAAAAGAATACTTATCAGTCAAATCTCTTTTTTGAAAACAGTACTGCTAACTTTGTTACTTAGACCAAGTTGGCTTGTTTTAGCTCTTCACTGGGCTTCATTTTGTGAGAAACAAACAAATATGGAAAAAATATAATCAAGAATTAAACTTAATTTGGTTGCAGCAGAGCACACTCCATGTTGAAAGGCAGCTGGTAGCCCAGTAAATAGAGTGCTAGGCCTAGAGGTAGGAAAACCTGAGTTCAAATCTGGCCTCTGACACTTACTACCTGTGTGATTCTGGGCAAGTCACTTAACCTTGTTTGCCTAAGTTTCTTCATCTGTAAAACTGGAATAAAAAAATAGCACTTACTTCCCATTACTGTTGTTAGGATCAAATGAGAGATTTGTTAAAAAAAAAAAAAAGCTTAGCACAGTGCCTTGTGGATAATAGGAGGTCATGTCAATATTTCTTCCCTTCCCCTTGTATACAAATCCACTCCAGGAAACTGTATCTATAGATATGGCTAGATATCCATAACTATTTTGTGACCTTAAGTTCTCGTAGGGCAGACCAACTGGTGGTCATTTTTGTCAATTGTGAATTACATTTCTGGTTAATCCTTAGCCCAACTGAAAATCATAGTATCTCTTGGTGGAAAAATGAGATTTGAATCTAATAAGTCTAGAAGCTATAGGGCTTCTTGAGGAGTCCTGATTCAAGTAATGTTTTCTTTTTGAGCTAAAAACATATTGGCTTAATATGTCATTAGTACAAGTCATATTTCAATGGAGTTCAGATTTTAAAATTTACATTAATTTGTGCATTCAACTTAAAATTCAGCTTTTTTTTTATTGGAATGGGAAATGAAATGACCTCACTCCAATAAGCTGTGAGTTTGAACAAATTATGCCACTTCTCTGAGCCTCAGTTTGCTTATCTATAAAATAAGGGAGCTGGATTTGATTTCAGGTACCCTTTTAACGATGACATTCTATGGTGCCACGAGGTGACGCCAAAGAACCCATGTAAAAGAATGGGTACATTATCCCCTGATAGGGCAGGCTCCACTGGTCTGAGATTGGGTTCGTGGTACTCACAGATCCTTATGCCATCTCAGCAGCCCTGGTGGTATTTCCCTGGGCAGAGTAAAAGTTGGGATCTCTATCAATCACTAGCAGCCCCTGTAGTGGATGGTCTTTTTTAACCTCATAAGAAAAAGCCACCAGATTGTGGCCAGTCTTGAACTGCTGATCTTCTTGAAACATAAGTCTAATAAAGCCAACTAAAATGGATCAGAAGATAAATCAAATGATCCTGACCTGAATTTGAAACAACTAGTGGGCATGGATGACACCAAGCCCTAAGGCCATATATCCAATTTTTACAAGATGTGAACTGAAAATCAAAACAAAGTCCTTTCATTTCAGCAACAGCAAATCATTCCAGTTTGGGAAAGAACTCTTCTTCAGTGTTTAAGGCTTACATGCAATCGAACAGAGGAAAATGAGCAAATATTTCATGCATTTTAAGCAAGTGAATGCTAAATTTTTTTTTAAGGTCTTACTTTGATTTCTTCATGTACAGCCAGTAGACCACACCAGCAACAAGAGCTGCGAGGAGGAGGCCAACGACAATCCCCACTATTAACTTGGCCTGGTCATTCACTTTCTCTTTGTTTTCATCTAAAACAAAGAAGAAAAGTCCGTGCAATTATAGATGATGCCAATGATTTGGAGTGGAAGCAAATCTAAGCTGCTAATTTCTAGTTACGAAAAAAAAAGCAAAACCGAGAAAACAAAAGAAAAGAAAAGAAAGGTGTACTATGGATCCATGCAAACTTTACTTGTGTGATTGTTAAGGAAACATTTTTAACATTCTTACTAGCTTGTCTCATCTACTATTTTAATTCCAGTCAAAATTGTGGACAGCTGGGGAAATTACTCATCCAATGATACTTCATAAATCTTGAGCTGATAGCCAAGGAAGAGAAGTCTGTCGCATAGTACCTACCACTTATATCGTCTGCCTCATCTTGTTCTGGAATACTGACTGAAATGAAAAATGTTAATATGAAATTAAAAACAAAATTTGTTGATATATGAAAGTCACCTTTACCATTATAGTAAGATGTTATAATACTTAAAGACAAAAGGCCTATCCTACATCTAAAGGGGAAAAAGATTACACTTAATGAAGCATAAAGTTCCCTACAAAGAAAATAATCTCAGCTTTAAAAAAAAAGCTTCAAAATTCTTTAATTCATGGGAAAATGAACAGCTGACAATGTGTAGACTGACTATGAATACTCTGGTATTCATTTTATTGTCCACTATCAACAATGGTTTTGTGACTAGGTGTCTGCCACATGAATGACCATCTCAAAGTCCAGAAAATACATATAAGATATTGACTGATGAAAAAGTGACATTCAAAAAAGAAGTTTAGGCTGCTAGACACAGATTCCTCAGTAAATAAATACTTTTGAAATGAACTGAAATTTTCCAATAATAGAATACTTTTGTGTTTTTTGGTTCCTCCCTTCCCACCCCCTCGTCTACCTATTAATTCATGATATTCTTCTTCACTTTTGATCTGACCTAGACCCTTATCCTCATTCAGGTATGTTCTTCTGCAGCTAGCTAACACCTAGGAATAGCTTGTGGCCTGATAAAGAATAACAACTTTCAAAAGATGTCAGAAGACTCCTCTCCCCGTATGGTGAAATGATACTGCCTCGCGAATCAGAACTCTTGAATTATGGTACCTGTTCCGCCATTTACTAGCAACTAATTAGCAGTGTAGGCCAGCGAGGTGGTGCAGTGGATAGAGTGCCAGGCCTGGGGTCAGGAAGATTCATCTTTATGAGTTCAAATCCAGCTCCAGACACTTCCTAGCTGTGAGATCCTGGGCAACTCATTTAACCCTGTTTGCCTCAGTTTCCTCATCTGTAAAATGAGCTAGAGAAGGAAATGGCAAACTGTTCCAGTATTTTTGCCAAGAAAAGTCCAAAAGAAGTCATGAAGAGACAGACATGACTGAAAAACGACTAAATGACAACAAATTAGCAGTGTAACTTGGGCAAGCAAGTTATTTAAACCACTCTGGCCCTTAGTTTTCTTAGGTATAAATTTAGGGGTTGATCTAAATTTCCTTCCAACTCTATAGTCTGAATCTATCTGATCTTGGGCAAAACAATTAACCTTTAAATGAAACTCAGTTTCCTCACCCATAAAAATGGGAACAATACCTACCCTGGCTACACCCCAAAGCGCTTATGAGGCTCAAATGAAAGACACTATAAGAAAACACTGTAAAATATAAAGTAAAAAAGGTAGGATTTAGGGGGACTCCAGTCTTGACCAGCCCTTTTTTAAAGTTTAACAAAGATACAGTGATAAACTATACATTAAAAGATGGTTTACAATTTCATGTTAACAGTAGGCTATTATAGTCTGATAGAGTTAAATGTTTAATTTGTAATATGCTGGTCAAATTTTCATATTGGCAAAGTTCCCACCTCCCTTTGAGATGGTTTCATTTAAATATATTATAAAATTAAAAAAATATGAATCTATATATTTGTGTGTGACTGTTATATGTTAGTATATCTGTTAGATACAACTACATATATGTATAACATATATGTATATATGTATGTGTGTGTATATCTGTGTGTGTGTATGTATTCAGCTTGTATTCAGCTGTAGCTATGTACTAGACTATAAAATTTGGACTCGGATAAAAGGACACAGGTTCTCCACCCCTATGCTAGACATTAAACTAAGGGTTCAAATCTTAACTTTGCTACCAATTTTATTATAGGGATTAAAATCAATCTGTTTAACTTCTGTCTCTGTCTGGACAATAATGTTAAGAATATTTCTATGTAGGACTTTAACAGAAGGTAATAAATAAAAGGGAATGGAAATACATTTGGGCCTGACATAGTTACAGGAATGTTTTAAAAGATAATTTCTTCTTTCACTTTTACTCTCAACGCAAAAATGGCATAAGCAAAAACAATTGAATTCACATCCTTTGCAGTTTAGGGAGGAAAAGTCCCTGCATAGAATGTGAATTCTGACCCATGCATCATGAAGTGACTTGTCAGACAAGACTGTTACTCAACAGACACAAGAAAACAAGAATCTTATGAAAAATGATAGTGGGTACAAAATAATAAATGCATAAAACTTACCATGATGAGGAACAGGAAGATGGAATTGAAGACTTTAAACTAAAGAGGATTAACCTCAGTTTGTCTTATATTTATTTTTTTTTTATGTCAGAAATGAAATACTCACTAGCAGAGACATTCAAGGAGTTTACTGTTCTCTCCAGCTGGTTTTCTGCTGTGCAAGTTAATGTAACATTCTCTTCAGGGGAAATGATAATTTTACTATAATACCTGCCATTGATATAGGGGGACTCCTCCGTCTGTAAAGGAAAGAAGCAAAGTCAATTTTGAAAGGGAAATTAACTAAAGAGACTGGGATAAACAATACTTGATGCATTGAGATTGTGACAAGGTGCTGTTCCTGGGAAATAATGTCAATAGCAGGGAAAAAGTGTTAAATGCATTACTTGGGGTCCTATATACATTTTTATTTTAATTAAGCTCCTGATTTTTTAATTACACTTGCCTCCCTTCATTAGAGAGTCAGTCAACATTTTCACACTAGGAGACAAAGAGGATCTGGGGGAAACAAGCATGGGCCTGGGAGGAAGTAGACCTGAACTCTAGCCCTAACTTGGCTGCCAGCTACCTAAGTAAGCTTGAAGAATCGCCTGCTCTTTTTTGACCTCAAACCAAGAGAATGTTGTATATAGTAACAGCAACATTGTTTTAAGAACAACTTTGAGCAATTAAGTATTTTTGACTATTATAAATACCCAAATTAATGACAAAAGAATGAAATAAGAGGTTATCTGCATCCAGAGAAAGAAGTGATAAATAGAATTATATATAGAATGATTTTACACATATATGTATATATATACACACACACACACACACACACACACACACACACACACACACACATATTATATATACACATTTGCATCTAAGAGTCTAATCTCTATGGTGGGGGGAGGGAAGAAAAAAAGGAAAAGCAGGTTGTGCATGATAGATTTGCAGTTTCATATGCAATCATCTTTTTTTTATTCTACTATGTTATAGTAATGCTTATTTTATTTCATAAATTAAAAATAAACTAAATATAAAAGTAGGATTGTATCTCTGAGATCCTACCTTAAAAATTCTGTATTTCATAATAATGCTTTCCAATCTGTGGGGCATGAACTTCTCAGTTGCCAATGAGTTACTGATATGAGTTCCCAAATAATGTCTCACACATGTATGATTTACTTTTCAAATTTATGTAGCTGTATTTTATTAAAATTTTTTAAAACATAAATAGCTTTTTATCATTATGTATGTTCTCAATCATTGGATGTGAATGGTACAACTATTATCAAAGAGCATTTGGTGGTCTGGGAAAATTTTTGTTGTTAAAAAGTTGCCCACACATTCAAAGTTTGAGAATAATATATAGAGTTTCAATAAATTATTATTCCTAACAAGCAACCCTCTTAACAAATTATTAGTTTTCATTATGCAATTTAAATAGAACTCTGCTTCATTAGTTTGCTAAGTGTTCTTCCCTACAATTATTAGTGATAATGATTAGTAATCTTTAGTTATGATAAGTATGACATAATCTGTCCTCAGCAGTATTATTTGTATTGCAAAAATAATCTATTCTGAACAATTAGTTGTCGAAAGGAACAGATGTGTAAAGGATAAACTAAATTGGTTGGGATATGGTACCACTAGACTTTAATTCTCAGGTGGTCCAGTTAAATTTATTCTGTTCTGTAGTCAAAGAGAGAGCCTTCACCCCCATCAGTTTGTATATTTAGTCTTGCTTCTCAAATTCCTACTGAACACACTGTCTATACCGTATAAAAATCACTTTCCAGTGAAAAGATCACTGAGACTGAACTTAGAGGTCCTAGGTTCAAGGCTCATCTTTGGTGTTTACTACTTGAGGGAGCTTGGGCAAGTCACTTAAGTGCCCTGGGCCTCAGTTTTTCCTCACCTGTTATAAATGAGGGAATTGGAAGGGGTGATATCTGAGGTCCCTTCAGCTCTAGATCTATGCTTCTGAAGCAGTGTTGGAAAGGGGACAGAGGGCTGGCCTTAGAGTCAAAAAGACCTGAGTTTACTTCTTATCTCTGACACACACTGGTGATGTGATTCTAGGCAAATCATAATTCTTTAATGCCTTAGGCAGTTTTCTAAGACTGTAAGCTTCAGACCTACACTGGTGTAAAGAGATGCCTCACAAGGCATTCCATATATCAATGAAATCACGGATCTAGACTGAAAAAAAACCCAACACCCTTCTTGCTTGATAATTTCATATGAGTATGCAACTATAAACTCCTTATGTGAAGAAGCCCTTCTCATTACGTATGTAGCCCTCTTCTGACAATATCTAGAACAGTATTAGGCACATAGCAGTCGCTAAAATTAAAAAGCAATCACCCATCCATTGACCAATGGAAGAAGCACAAGCCGAGAAAGTAGAAGGATTCACAAAAGTCTATCACCACTTCAGGGAACATAACCAAAGAATAAAATAATGACAACTTCATTTTTGTCTCAGAAGCAGAACATCTTGGTTTTTACACATGGATAGCAAAATTTCCAATTTTCCACCATTCAATAGAACTTTCATACAACATTTTCTTTGGAGCCTTGATTTTATCCCTTGTTTTCCTCCCTGGAAATGGTGCCTTTACACTTTTCTAGGTTGATTCTCTTTTCTTATTTTGTGGATACTATTGCTATCTTAAGGTTTTTCTTTTTCAATGTCACATACATAAACTGGAATAGGAAAATGGATAGAGAAAACAAAAGTTGATCAATTTACCAAATAAAGCAAAAGGCAAAGGAAAGCAACACACATGATTAAAAAAATAGTTATTTTCAATAGTCACACTCATTGTTAGCAAGTCAGGTTTCAGGGAGTGTGTATTTCTTAGGTATTGACAGACAAGCAATATAGTGTAATGTACAAAATGATGAGCTTCAGAGTCAGGAAGATCTGTGTAAGAATCTCATATCAGAAAATTAGCTGTGTGACCATATGTAAATCACTTAACCTCTCAGGCTTTATATAGAAAAGAAGGGGGCTAGAATTGAGATTTCAGAGATCCCATCCAGCTCTAAATCTAAACCATAACTAGGATTTCTGCCCCCTCCTCTGCATTCTTCTATGCTTAACTATGGCTACAGAGTAGGGTAATCAGAATTACCTGTCCCTAAGAACATTTCTCCTACTAGCATGGAGTAGTTGGTAAGAGAGAGCTACTCCTGAGCACATATCCCACAAGCCGCAGGGAAGAAATACTGATTACACACTTCATCAGAGAAGCAGTCCATGTGTTCTACCCCTCTTTCTAATCTCTGACCATTCTGTTTGGGGACATTATACATCCCTGGCAGTGTACATCTGTATAACCACACACAATGCCAAATCACTAAAAAGGGAGAAAGACACAGAATTTGATGAGATATGTGATCATCACCACTCCCTTTTCCCCTGCCATGATATGTGCACTGACTATTCTAGGAAATGGTATTGCATAACCACCTGGGTACCAGGGAAGTTGGAACAATTTTAATAAGAAATTGATAGCCTTTTATCTTGTGTCTTATGACCAGTCCAAAGCAAAACAAGAGGTAACTGAGAAGTTCTAAATAACCATATGGAATACTAATATCCCCAAATAGATAGTCCTTAGCCAGTGCCAGAGAAAGAACAGTTCACATGGCATCTTTGTATATTTTAAAAAATAAAGGAACATATTAGGGAAACCATTAAATCTAGTCTCCAACAACTTGTTTTATGTTTTCTACCTGAAAATCTAACAGATTGACAATTTCATGGGTTTACAATTTTGAACCCCCAATGATAAGTCAGATTTTCACTCTTTTTGATATTAAAATTGACATGAGGTAATGACCAGAGTTCACATTATAAGAAAAAGACATTTGTAACTTGTATACTCAAAGACCTAGTTTTCTTTTAGGAGGCAATGGGGGAAAAAACCATGCAATCTAAATTCTACCTTAGCACACAACAGAACAAATTATTATTTACCTTCCTCTTCCCACTTTATGTCTGCAAGGGCCTCTACATATGGACCCAACTCTGGTATAACCACAGGAGGCCATATGTTCAAATGAAATAACTATCTAACTGTTTCCGGGGTGGGGAACCTGTAGCCTCGAGGCCACATGTAGCCTTCTAGGCCCTCGGTACGGCCTTTTGATTGAGTCCAACTTTTACAGAACAAATCCTTTAATTAAGGGGATTTGTTCTGTGAAATTTAGATTCAGTCAAAGGGCCGTGCTTGAGGACCTAGAGGGCCACATGTGGCCACAGGTTCCCCAACCCTGATTCTAGCACTATGTTAGGAAATAATTTTAAGATGGATATTCTTTAGTACAATACAAGGAAGCAAATTAATGTAAGCCACTTGAATATGTAAATTTATGAAGCACCAAAGTGTTCCTGTTAATATTTTAATCATCTAAGTTTTAGGAAATAAGGACCACTGAATATCTTATTTTACATTTTTTTTTTTTAGGCAATTGGGGTTAAATGACTTGCCCAGGGTCACACAGCTAGTAAGTGTCAAGTGTTTGGTCTAAGGCCAAATTTGAACTCAGGTCCTCTTGACTTCAGGGCCGGTGCTCTATCCACTATGCCACCTAGCTGCCCCTATGTTCTTTTCAAAAGACAAAATTAGAGACCAATAGATATTGTAAATTGGTTCTTTTCATGGCTCTGGGAAAAAAGGAATATAGGGGGGCATCATGTTATAGTGGATAGAGAGCTGGCCTCAAAACCAGGAAGACTGGATTTTAATTCCTACCTCTGAAAAAAAAAACTGACTCTGGGAAAGTTGTTTACATTTTTTTTCTCAGTTGTGTCCCAGACATATCTCTAAGACTACTAAGTGGCCAAATTGCATTGGAAGAAAGGTCACCAGGGAGCTCCTAGTACCAAGAAAATCACAAGTCAAGTACCTATTCCCCTTATCTCTAAGATAAAAATCAACTTTAAAAGTTTTGAGTCTCCTTTTCTTCCCTTTAGTGCTGTTCAGACGTTAATTAGAAAGTTCCCCCCTCACCTCCTAGAATATATATAAAGTATATGTTGATACCAAACCAGCCCCACATCTGGGCCACCAAAATAAAACTTCACCAAGATTAAGAAAAAACAAAGAGAAGAAAAATACTTGCTTGGTTTATGACGCTTCCACTGCCTGTAATTGTCCACTGGACAGCCGGCTTGGGAAAACCTTCCACATGGCAGGTAATGGTTTTAGACAATCCATTTGGATCAGTTTTCTTTGTCATTTTAATTTGAGGTTTTCCTAAAATATCAGCATAATTAAAATATTGTGGTGAACTGACTGTGATGAGTGAAACCAACTACAGAATAACCAAGGTTTTTGAAAGAAAAATTGGATGCATATAAACTATTCTCCTTTATTACCTTCCACGATTAGAGTCAGAGATTCTCTTTTCTTTAACCCTTCCACCTCTTGTAGATTAGTTTCACAGACATAGTTCCCAGCATCCTGATACTGTAGACTGGAAAATGATGGCCTAGACCGGAGCTTAGTGTTATCCTGATTAAATGAAAAAAGTTAATTATTTTGCATGGCTCAGTTATAACTGTAGGCATATTTACTCAAGAGTAATTAAGATCTCGACTAATATTTTTTGACAATCTAATGATCAATTACTCCATTTATCCTACTTGTGAAAGTATGAGGGTTTTTTTTTCCTGTCTTTAGATAAAGAAAACATTTTATTTTCATGTATTTTTTTAAATTTTCTCTTGTAGAACCAGTAGAAAGAATAATAATAATTATTATTATAATATTTAACATTTATTTACTAGAAGCTAACATTTATGTTAATGTTTGTGATGGGCCAGGGATTGTGTTAAGTAGAAACTTCAGTTATTATCTCATTTGATCCTCACAACAACCTTGGGAGAAAAGTGATATTATATCCCTCATTTTACAGATGGGGAAACTGAGGTAAAGAAAGGGTAAACTTGCCCAGGATCACACAGCAAGTGAGTTTCTGAGGCTGTAGAGCTTCCTAACTACAGGACCCATGCTCTATCCATTGCACCACCTAGCCTCTCACTGACATAGTTTGAAGTCTATGGCTGTATACTGAAGAATCGTACCATTTCCTCAAAGGGATGGCTTTTGTATGCTAAAAGGTATAAATCTACTTTCTTTATCTGATCTTCATTGCTAAGTGAGATATAAATGATTTTCAAGATATCCAAATAAGATTACTAACGTTATTATTATAAGCCCTGACTAATACAATGAGACATTGGAGAGAAACATTTGCGAAAGAGTAAAAGTTTCACCTAATGACCCAGAGGTGAAATGGATATATGTCACTAGAGTGGCAGCAATGGTATGTCGGAGAAACAATTGGACCTTGTTGTAAGGAAGACCTGGGTTCCAAGCCAGCCTTTTATCCCCATTGGTAGTGTGGCTGTGGACAAATCACTCAACCTCTTGATGCCCTTGGCAACTCTCAAAGGCAGTAGCTTGCAGCATATTTGCTGACCTGTATTGGTAGAGGTGGTGTCCTCACTGGGAATTTTCTATGTCAGTAAAAAGCAGAGGTCCAGACCTTACTACTATGAATTCTTAATCTCGGGCAATTGTACAAAAACTAGTAACTGCAAATGGCAGTAGTAATGATATCATCGCCACATTACTCAAGAGTGCTTTGTTCACCATAACTTTCCCCTTTGCTCCAACCACTGACTGGATGGCATTGACAGCATTTAAGAACAGATAATCAGCCTGCCATAAAGTATTCAACCAATGATCCTTTCAGATTACACAAGAGATGGTCAATTCTGAAATAGGTATAGTGACAGCAAGTGAAACTTTTAGTGAAAATGTACTGTCCTTCTGGGTAGCTAGCTGGACCCCATGGCTATTGGTCAAGCTGATTGACCTGTAGGGTTCTCTGCATAGTATCAGTTAAATATGTATCACCTTGGATGCACAGTATGTAGAAAAAATCTTAAAGTATCTCTGGGTTTAAATTATTTATAATTATATATATTTATAATATATATTATATACTATATATAATTATATATACATACACACATATGTATCTACATGAATGGAACATGCTAGTTGTTAATAACTTATGTATCTATATAACTCATGAGGATGGTCTCTGCACACCACTGCTTCAAAAGTATGTCCCAATTGCACTGTTTAGGAACTGCAGTCAAAGGATCATGACACTAGAGGAAATGTACAAGATTGACCTCTGACAGCACTGGTCAAAAAGAAATGGATGTTTTTCTATACTTTTCAGTGCTGGGGCCAGAGTCATTTATTTCCATTGTTGGCACAACTTCCCCAAACTCCAAAGGAGCAAATACCAGTTCCACTTTCCCATCTGTGGTACTAAAAAGATCCAATGATTGGACATGAGTGTCTTTTACTGAGTTTCAGACAATTACTTTGAAATATAGAGAGGAATTATTAATGGAGGCCAATCAAAATTTTATATATTTCATGTGTGTTCTTAGTACTTGTCCAACAAATTGACATTCATGGCAATAGTTTTTTTCCCCCCCAGGCTATTGGGGTTAAGTGACTTGCCAAGGTCACACAACTAGTAAGTGTCAAGTGTTTGGTCTGAGGCTGGATTTGAACTCAGGTCCTCCTGACTTCAGGGCCGGTGCTCTATCCACTGTGCCACTTAGCCGCCCCCATGGCAATAGTTTTTAATGCAGTATGTATTTCTAATTTTGTTTAGAAACTAACATTTCTAAAAAATTAAAGCATCACCTTCAATAGAGTCTGTCTATATAATATTCTTACCTATCATTGCATAAGATATGCAGTATTTTTCTGTACAACATAAAATGATTGTACTCTAAATAGTAATGAATTTATAAGGAAAGCTAGTAAAAATATTACTTACTTTCAACCAAACAACAGTTGCATTCCTACTTGAAGATATAGTACATGACACAGGAAGAGCATCTCCAATCTGCTTAGTAACTTCTCCACTTGGGTTAAGGGACAAATCCAAATCTGCGAAGCAAAAGAACTGTTTGAAATGCAAACCTCAGAAAATTAAAATATCTGAATATTGTTTTTGGAAGGGAGGAAGTGATGAAAGAATCAACCCTAGCAAGTGATTTAAAATGTAGACCACATTTATATGACAATGCATTGGACCGTCGTCTGAGTGTGGCCATCTAATAGGTAGTCTGGATTGCCAAATGGTCAATCCAATTAACAGGCCTGATGTAGAGGCTACCTTTAAATATCAGTTGGATTTAATTTCTTCACCAGGGAAAAAGCTTTGTTATTTCTGGAAGGAAACAGACAATATAAGGGGAAGTGTTCCTGGAAAAGAATGTAATTTGTAAAATATGAAAATGAAGCATCTTTACAGAACTTATGATAAACTAAAAAAACCAGGAAATATTCTAAAACTTTCTTCACTGAATACTACTAAATTCGTTAGACTCATAAAGCATGGTTTTTGCCCTTTTCATGTGGTTGAAAAGTTAGACAATAGTTACACTTATGCACACCAGCAGAAAATAACATTTTAAAGAATACAAGGTACAAATATCCCTACATATATACAGAAATCTACATCTATCAGACATGTGAAATGTTTCTTTAAAAAGCTTAGTGGTTTTGGGGGAATGGCCTAAAGAAAATATCCCTGCTTTTTCAGTTTATCATTGATTTTCTAAAAAAAAAATGTTAACACTGTAACATACACAAAAAAATCATTTGGTAGATTAGTTGGTAGAAGTGGATTTGAGTCTCAAATTCACGGCTAGGTAAAGTAAAATGTTTTATTTGGATGGTTGACTTATGGTATGAGAAGTTAGAGGGAATTAATCTAAAGGTTGGTGATGTACTTTAGCAATTATAAGGGTAATTAGTATGTGTGGGTTGGGGGGCAGGGTAGAAAAAAGTTTCATTCCCCTTCCCAATTATTTGGGGGAAGATAATACATTTATAGCCTGGGAGTACTTTCATATAGTCTGCTATTTAGTTATTCTGGTGTTACTGTTCTACCTATGGAAAACGGAACAGGTTTGTCTTCGGGGGAAAACAAGCAAACAAAAACTAAAACATGTTACCAGTATTTCTTTTAAGAGAATTAAAATGTTGATTTTCTCTGGCTTCTTTCCTGAAACCCAACTGCCACATTCTAGGCTTGCATTTCAAAACTAAAATGCTTAAAAAAAAAAAAAGCCCACACAAACACCTGAAATCCAATTAAACTGTCACATCCTTCTTATTCATATTCTTATCACTGATGATTATCAGGACACCTCCGTGACTTTATTATCAGCTTGTTCTTCCAGCTAGATACTCAGTTAGTAGACACTATAGCTCTCACTTCTTAGGATTTTGCAGTCTCTCTCAAAAGCAAGCATGCCTTAATATCCCCTAAAGCTATGGATTCTTGACATAAGACCCTTAGAAGTAATTTACACATTACATCTTTCAAAGGCATAGCTATCTACTGGCTTCATTTCACCAGTGTCACCAAAAAAGAGTGAGGATGCAGGGCAGTCCTGGATGAATGGTCCCATAAATGGCTACTTTTAAACATATAGAAAAGTATGGCAGCAAAGTCCTTATGTAGGGGTGTCACTGTTCTCCCAATAATTAGTCCAAGTCATAGATTTACTCAAGTCAATACAGGATGAATACTTGACAGAACAAGACAACTATTTGTGGAAAAACATTTCCTTAATAGTCTTATTCTTTTCTCTTGCTACTTAGAGTGTGTTGCCAAAGACACATTAAAATGTTGCCATCTCTAGGGCAGCTAGGTGGCTCAGTGGATAAAGCAGCAGCAGTGAAGTCAGGAGGACCTGAGTTCAAATTCAGCTTCAGACCAAACACTTGACACTTACTAGCTGTGTGACCCTGGGCAAGTCACTTAACCCCAATTGCCTAAAAAAAAAAAATTGCCATCTCTTCAAATTATCCCAACTTGTATTAATAATTAGGAATTGGTCTATCTATCTATTTATCTAGCTAGCTACTCTACCTCCCTTCTTGCATCTCTACCAGAGGCTTCAGCCTGAATCCTCTGAAGTAATCCCCAAAAATGGCATTTGAAAAGAAAGTTTAGAACCTCTTTCCCAGGAAAATTCTGGAAGGTTATTGAAGTCTCTCTTCTCTTTTGAAGCAGGGTAAAACCTCAGACTCAAGGGATTAGACTGCATCACCCAGAAAGAAAGATCTCACTGGCACTACAGGATATCAAAATCTCACTACAAGACTGGGTTTTCATCTCCAAGGAAGAATAATGCATGCACTGGGCAGTCTTTGAATTCTCAGTGCCTCCAGGGCAACACTGTACTGGATCCCTGTCTCCACAAAACCTCTTCTCAGACTGCACCTGTCTTGCCAGTATCCGCAGGATGGACTGCCCCAAATGGGAAAATCAGTCTTTAGGAAGGTCGAGTCAAGTGTTGGCTCTGGATGTGCTTCTGTGCATCTCTCCTTTTGCCTCCCTGAGCTCACATAGCTTTAGTCTACAGATGACAAGCTTGGGTTGAAAGAAAAGAGGACTTTGATCCTGAGGATGCTTCTGCTTTTAGATACTTACTGTCCACCCATCAATACAGTTTCATTGGCCAATGAAATGACTGTAATAGCCTTGAGCTCATTCCCAGAGCCAAATTCATTTTAACTGGTTTTGGTTATGGGTATCATGCCCTATAATTTTTGTTCTCTATTAAATAAAGTCTTAAATACAACTTCCACGGGCCAGCTGCTGCTTCTGTTAATTTCAATAACAATCAGGAAGTTCTTCACAACATATAATGATTCATTATTCTGTTAATATCCATAACAGGTACCAGTTTCTTCTGCTGCACATTGTGGGAACTGAGAATGATACTGGATTTTCAACACTATTGAAAGTTGCATTAATTAAATCCATATATGTCATAAACTTTGTAATACAAACACTGTGAACCAAAGGGCTGCTGATACTGATGAACTTAATTAAGTCTAATGAAACCAGGTTACAACTGGGGCAGTTGATAGAGTGCCAGGCCTGGAATCAGGAAGACCTGAGCTTAAATCTGGCCTCAGACACTTACTATCTGTGTGACCCTGGCCAAGGCACTTAACCCTGTTTGCCTTAATTTTCTCATCTGTAAAATGAGCTAGAAAAGGAAGTAGCAAACCACTCCAGTAGCTTTGCCAAGAAAAGCCTAAATGGGGTCATGAAAAGTCAGACATGACTGAAATGACTGAACAACAACACCAGTTACAACTTATTTGGAGAGAGAGTAGTATTAGGCTAGAAATTGCTTTCTGAAATTGTGCATGAAAAAAAATAAGGTAACTTACAGTGCACTGTGATAGTCGTGGAAGCAATCATGCTTTTTTCATCTGTTAGAGAACATTTGTAGTCTCCTGTCGCATTTCGTCTCACATCTGTCAATACATAAGTATTCGAGCTTCTTATACCTTCTGGCTGTCCCTTTGGATAGAGGTAAAACAGCCTAGGATTACAATGCATAGCAAAGATGAAGACAATAGTATTTCTTAATGACTACAATATAATTCCTTCAGTTTTGAATGGGAAGAGGTTTGCTTCAATGGAAAATATATGACTTGTGGTTGGAATTCAAATATAAATGTTTGACCTTTTATTTTAATGTTGCTAGATTTGTTTTGGAGGGGAAGAAATGAAAGCATTTTATTATTTAAATTATTTTAAAAATAAAACAAAATATATTTAAATACAATTAATTATTATTAAATTATTTTAGAGCCACATAGCCATACAGTTCTTGGAAAAATGATGTTTATTTGGGTCCCTGCCCTGTTGGTGCTCTAGGCAGAGTGAGATGCTTTCTTTCAAGAGCTCTTAGATGGGTGTGTTGGCATGGCTACATAATTCTCAACTGATGCTTCAGGAATAACTCAAAAAATGTCCAAAAGGATTGTCTCTGTTCTTCAGACGTAGAAACTGAGGCACAGAGAAGAGACAGGACTTTTTGAAGTTCATCCTATGAATGACTGGTAAAGCTAGGATCAGAATCCAGGGTAAGCTCTTCCTCTCATCATTCTTGTTTTCCATTCAGTCTTGTTGATGAGATGAATATAGCAACCTATTTAAGAAATCAAGCTCACCAATAGGTTCTTAAAAGCTAATGTGTAAAAAAAAAATAAAGTAAAAGCTATTGTGTCTTCTGGTCACTTTTCCACCACTAGATTTGTAACTTTGAAAGAGCTTTAAAAGTAGCTTCCTGGGACAATTAGGTGGTGCAGTGGATAGAGCACTGACTTTGGAGTCAGGAGGACCTGAGTTCAAATGTGGCCTCAGATACTTGACACTAGCTGTGTGAACCTAGGCAAGTCATTAACCCTCAATGCCTACCCCCTCCCCCCCCAGCCAAAGTAGCTTCCTGTGTAATTTGATTTTACTGGTAAAAAGGCAGGAAAAAAAAGTCTACCCTGTTTCATAGCTTCCTCATAGAGTAGGGAAAACCTTCCATGGGAACTCTGTATGAGCAACATTATGCTCCCTCTTTCATGTTATAAAATGCGAACATCAGACAAATGTTAAATGGGGGAGAATGCTAGTTCTAAAGCTAAGTGGCACGACTGAGGCACTTACTGGGAGGTAAAACAAAAACTCCTCTGGAGGGGGGTTGCCATTTCCCAAGCATTTTAGAGTGATGTTGTCTCCTTCCTTGATGGCATTTTTGGGTGGCAAGACTTGAATTGTCACCTTCTCTGTGGGATCTGCAAAAAGAAATGGACACAAGTTAATAGTTTTTGTCAAGTACCAAAGTACTGTGTGCATATAATGCAAATGACTAAATTATACACAATTTTCTCAAGAAGCAAGTAATGGTAATTGCTTAAATGTATCTTTTTATAGAAGGATTTAAGTTAATAGGTACTTTCCATACTGAGTACTAATCCTAGTTAGAACAAACTACAAAGGAACCCTGTTATATAAAAATCAATTTCTTCTTAGCAAAATGTTTTTAACTGTAGTAGGAATGACCATAATTATTTTATGTGTAAAAGACCAGTAGGAACAATCTCACTGTATGATTTCATTGTAAGAGAATTTAGCTGTATTCTATGAAACTTACTATTTGGAAAGACTGAACTGCAGCCTTCAAAATAGCTAGTTCTATTAGGCAACACTGCACTCATATTACATAATAGTACCCTACATTAAATACAAAGGAGCATGAGCTAAATAGCACAGACAAAGCTTTTTGGCATGCTGAAGAGTATACTTGCTTTCAAAAAGAGGAATCCCATGATCTGAAGGAGACCCTTAACACAATCAGCAGAACTGTAAATGTAATATAATTCTGTTCTGTTCAATGAAGCCAAGATACAACTTTCATTCCACTTTAGTAATGTTTCCAAAGACAATAGGCTAAAGGGTATTCTTTACTCTTAGCTGCTGTTCACAAGCAGAATTTTAGGGAAATTAAGGCCATATATAATGAGCCACATCTAACAAACACAAAATGTGAGAAAAAAATCTCAGTCTTAGAAGTATATGAATTTCCAAAATGAGTAACATCCTAATAATAGTCTACTTTTAAACTTTAAGATGTTTTAAAATCACTACTTGGCTAAAAGAATAGTCAACGTAGAAGTTGCCTAATGCAAAGGCTCATTTGATGGAATACTTTTTCGCCTTGAGAACTTTACAACTGTTGCATCATTAGTTATGTGCATGAAATTTCACCAATGATATACTTTGGCATACTTATAAAGACAAAAGTGATCTCCCCAAGAAGAGTTCATATGACTAATGCTACAAGTGGGACTTGAGAGGCTAAGCTAACAGGTTAGTTGCCCAGATACTACAAAGATATTTTTTTCCATATCATGCAAAGATGCAGACAAAATTAACAAAGGGAGGAGAGGAAAGCAATAGATCATTTGTTTCTCCATTTTTTCTGCATATTCCAGCACCAAGCTTGCAACATTTTTGCAAAGTTTTGCAATCCTGATTAGTCTGCATATTACCTAGAATATTCTGCTATGATGACTCTTCTCTTCAGAGTATATGTGCACACTGGATATATATATATGTGTGTGTGTGTGTGTGTGTGTGTGTGTGTGTGTGTGTGTGGTTTAAGGTTTGCAAAGTACTACATATGTGTGTGTGTGTGTGTGTGTGTGTGTGTGTGTGTGTATATGTATATATATATATATATATATATATATATATATATATATATATATATATATATATATATATATATATATATATATATATATATATATATATATATAGTACTTTGCAAATCTTAAACCACTATGCAACCAGCATTAGAAGGAAAGTAGAAAATTGGGAAATAATTTTTACAACCAGTCTCTCTGATAAGGGCCTTATTTCTAAAATATATAGTGAATTAAATCAAATTTATAAGAATACAAGTCATTCCCCAATTGATAAATGGTCAAAGGGTATGAACAGGCAGTTCTCAGATGAAGAAATTAAAGACATCTATAGTCATATGAAAAAATGCTTTAAATCACTATTGATTAGAGAAATGCAAATCATAACAGCTCTGAGGTACCATATCACACCTATCAGATTGGCCAACATGACAAGACAGTAAAATGATAAATGTTGGAGAAGATGAGGGAAAATTGGAACACTAATGCATTGTTGGTGGAGTTGTGAAATGATGCAACCATTTTGGAGAACAATTTGGAACTATGCCTAAAGGGCTATAAAAATGTGCATACTCTTGGACCCAGCAATAGCACTTCTAGGGCTGTATCCCAAAGAGACCATACAAATGGGAAAAGGACCCACATGTGCAAAAATATTTATAGCAGCTCTTTTTGTGGTGGCAAAGAATTGGAAACTGAGAGGATGCCCATCAATTGAGGAATGGCTGAACAAGTTGTAGTATATGAATGTAAGAAAATACTATTGTGCATAAGAAATGATGAACAGGCAGACTTCAGAAAAACCTGGAAAGACTTGTATGGTCTGATGCTGAGTGAAATGAGCAGAACCAGGAGAACATTGTACATAGTAACAGCCACGTTGTTTGATGACTAATATTAATAGACTTAATCCTTCTTAGCAATACAAGGATCTAAAGACATCTCCAAAGGCCTCATGATGGAAAATGCTATCCACATCTAAAGAAAGAACTACATTGAAGCATGCTATTTGCTATTTTTTTCTTCTGTTGTGTTTTGTTTCCTCTTTCTGGCGTTTTCTCCTATTGGTTCTAATTATTACTTACAACATCACTAATGTGAAAATATGTTTAATAGGAATGTATATATATATAGCCTACATCAGATTGTACACCATCTTGGGGAGGGAGGTGGGGGGGGAAATTTAAAACTCAAAATCTTATGGAAGTGATTGTTGATAATTCAAAATAAATTAATTTAAAAAATCTTAAACCACTACGTAAATCTTCTTTATCATGATCATCATCATCATCGCTTGAATCAATTGAAAGGAAAGAAGGAAAGAAGGAAAATGAAGGAAGGAAGAAGGGAAGGAAGGAGGGAAGGAAGGAAAGAGTCTCTGCCCTTGAAGAGCTTACATTCTAATGATGGAAGCCTTCAGCCAAAAGAAAACTGAAAAAATAGAGTGCTTGGGATGAAGTAGAAGGGAGGCATGGTTTTGAAATCTAGAGGATGTCAAGAATAGGGCTAGGAAGGGAATGAAGTTAAAATCTTTTCCCTGATTCACCAATGATAGCCTCCAGGCTGAAGATTGTGAAGTGCATAAAATTTGTTTTTGACACTATTTTCTTCCCCTCCACACCCATTCCACTACACTTTCTCCATCCACTGACTCCTGTTCCAGTGTTACACCATTGCTGCCTAAGACATGCTACCCTCTATATTCTGTCACTCCAATAGGAGCCCACCCTCCCAAGTGCACTTGGCATTTCAAATCATTTCCATTCCTTTATCAGCCCTTACCTCTCATGTTCTCTTGTTCACAGCCCTGCTCTTCACTAGGAAACTAATAAACCAACCTGGGATAATGGGGGCAATACATTACCCCACTCCAAGGTGACAAATTGGCAGTTTAACAGGCATTCTCAGGAGAGAACTCAATGTGACTAAACTGAAACTAATTGGCTTTCTCAAAATGACAACCCCTCCCTGGCTCTTCTGATCCCGTCATTGCCAACATTGTTCTCCTATTCATTAGGTCACTAAACCTCCCTGAGATTCAGCTTCCTCATCTGTTAACATAAGGGCAACAATACTAATAGTAACATATCCTAGAGATGTTGTGAGAATTAAATGACGAAGTGTGCATAAAGAGCTTTGAAAACCTTCAGACAATGTAGAGGAGCAGTGCAGGAGATTAGATTGACAGAAAGCTTTGGACTCAGGAAGGCATGAAGTCAAGCCCCGAAGCTAATACCTATTATCTATAGGACCTTGGGCAAATCACTTAACCCCTCAGTGTCTAACAGCAATCTCTAAAGCTACAGAGAAGGTAAATCTGCATTGGTAAAGTAAGTTCTTCACTAAAAAAATACTTATACTGATAAAAATCACAGATCTAGTAAAAAAAAAGTGTTAAATACTTCTGAAAGTATTAGCATTATCATTATATTTGACTCATGAAATCACAGAATCTCAAAGAAGGAGAGGGTGTCAGGAACGATCTATTCTAACCTATACCCATTCAGATATTTCTACAACTTTCTTGACAATTAATTCACTACCCAGGCTCTAGAAGGACCAGAAGTTAAGAATATCTGGAAGGATTCTGTCAACTGATGTTCTTGGTCCTTTCCAAGGTTAAAGGTCACTAGTAATGGGATACTCATCATCCAACGAGAGAGATAATTCCATTTTGGATAGCTTTTACTGTGTAGGAATTCTATTGATCTTCTATTGATCTGTCTCTCTGCCACTTCCATCCATCCCTTCTGGGATCAAGCAAAACAATTGTAATCTCTCCATATAAGAATGCTTTAAATGCTCTGATAGCAAGCATGAGTGTCCAAGTCTTCTCCAGGCTTTAGTTCCTTCGATGAATAGTTGCATGATATTTTTTGCTGTATTGTTGTATGATGTATATTTGTTGTATGACATAGTCACTGCACCATGCTGCTAGCTTTTCTTCTGGACCTCCTCTCCAGCTTTTCAATACTTAAATGCAGTACCTAGACCTGAAATTTTCTGCTTACCTCCCCTACCCAGTCAGGCATCAAGTCCTGTAATTTTTTTCCATAATGACATTAGGATTACAGATTTAGAGCTGGAAGGGACTTAGACATCATCTAACATAACTCCAAATGGGGTCATGAAGAGTCAGATACAAATGAAATGACTGAACAACCACAAAATGAAAAAAAAATGAGTAACTTACAGTAAATATCAAAGAATGCTTGATCAGAATGAATTGTTCTTTGGCCAGATGGACCATAATATATCACAGAACATGTGAATGGTATCTTTATATCATTTTTTGTTGTCTTGTACACTAGAGAGGAAGTCACAGTGGAGAGTTGAGTTGCTGGATCCACTTGTCTTTGTAAAGTTGTGATCACACCTAAAAGAAAGAAGGAATATTACTCATAGGATCTTTTACCTGGATCCACAGTACTTAAACTCACAAAACCTTTGAAAGGTGTCTTAGTCCTACTATAGGTACTGTACAGGCAGGGAGACTGACATGTAGCAAGGCAGATGCCTTTTTGCTGTTACAGAGTAAAACAATGGTGGAAGCAGAAATAGAATCCTACAGTCCTGTCTCCCACACACTTTAATTAACTATGAGAACATGTCATAGACAGAAGTAATTTTCCTTACTCCTTTCTCTTCTGCAGCAGCACTAAATCAGCATTTGGGGGAAAAATTAATGGATACTTAAGATGACTAGGCCCATTGTTGTAGATCAAAATTTAGCGAAATATTTAGAAGCAAAATATTTAGAAGTTTGTACTGCATATCCAATACAAACTCAGACTCACCTTCTGATGGTTCCAAAGTCCTTCCATTCCTGTACCATGTAATGTTGACATCTGGATAACTGTCTTTTGAAACACAATCACCCAACTGCAAAACAGAAGGTGATGTTAACACCTAAGTCTAACTGTTTTATTTAAGCAAAATTTAGTGGCCCGATGTGACTGTTATAAAAATGGAGATGGAGGTGACCTGTCCATCCTCATGTTATTTACTAAAGTCCTTTCATCCAAGCACAATTATTCTACCTGCCCGTTAAACAGTAAAGCTACTTAGTGACTTTACTGCATTTATGTTGAAAATCATTTTAGAACAAACATGATATTCACCATACAGTATGACATGGCATTATTCAGTAAAACCCAAGACTTTTTTCTTTTAACAAAGAAATGTGTAGTTATACCAGTGAGAAGAAAAGGAGTAGACTGTAATCAGCGAGTTTGGAGCCAAAATGATCCACCCATATACAAAATGGCTATTTTGGCTCTCGTTGATGTATTTTCTAGCAGCACACTAGAGGCATTTTGCAAGAGAGATGAATTACCCTTCTCTCCTCTCCTGCACAAAGTCTTAAGCTACTGGTCCCCTGGCTATTCTGAATGAACCAAATTTGGATCCTTATGTAGCTATTATCAGTCCCTTCAGACTAGATGAAATTAAGGCAGTTAGTTAAGCAAGAAATGTGTGCTTTACCTTTTTCAGCTGTTCTGTTTCCAAGAACTGTGCTTTATTTACAATTTCAGGTTTTGATGGTTGCTCTGAAATTAAAGGAAAAAAAAATAAAATCTATGTGGAAAAGACAGGACCTCTGTTTTGCCTTATATCAAATAATGCATTTCCCCAAAGCTAGAAAACAAGTGACCAATCAAAGAACAGAATCAGCACAAAGATTGCAATTTGGCAAATTGGTCTAGCTACATATGAGAAAAAATCCACCACACACCAAACCTTTGCATTATTTATTTTAAATGTTATTTTAAGTACCTGGAACTCTTCTGAATATGATCTCTCTAATTAGAAAGCATTATTTTTCTCACAGCTTCCTAGGCATTTTACCAACCCGCTGATGGTTCTAACAGTGAAGACTGCAGTCAAAGGACTAAATGGCGCCCTGGTGGTTTGAAAGAGCCAGTGTACCTCCAAATGGCTGTTGTCCCTCTTCCTATCATAAGCATCAGGCTCATTATAACGTGATGAATTAGCACTATCACTGTAGTAGTACAAATGAAAAAACTGAAGTGTGAAGTTATTGGGAACGTCTCCTGCACCACATCCAGAACTGGCAAAGCACTGAATTAAAACACTCACACCTGGTCTATCCTTGAGCTATTACGATGCATTAGAAGGGCCACAGGACAAAGAAGCAAGAGTTCAAAGTTCAGAGTTCAAAACTGCTCTGCCACCAAATATCACATCCCTTAACTTCTCTGAGTCTTAGTTCTCATCTGTATATAGTGAGGGGGTTGGGATAAATAGATAGGGTATTTATTAAGTGTTTACTATGTGCCAAGCACTGTGCTAAATGCTAGGGGTACAAATAAGATGGGTCTTGCCTTCAAGGAGCCTGAAGGGTGCAGAGCCTGTGCCCTGGTGTTCTGCAGACATCTGCTTTGGCCTTAATACAGGGTATGCACAAACCAAGGCTTCTTGGTGGTCCCTTTGTCTTCCCTCCCACCCCATTAATTAGGGGGAAGGGCTATGTCAAAGAAGTGGCCAGTGCGCAAGTAGACTTTCACTTGATAGTTTTTTAAAGTGAAAGACAATTTCCACTCTCTTCTGTACATGATGCTTGGGACTCCATCTGCTCTCACTTGGACTTTCTTCAAGGGAGGACGAGATTTCCCATTCCTTATCCCCATCCCCAAAGCTATGACAGCTATTCCCATATAGCAGGGAGAGTATGTATTGTCTAGACAAGGCTGATAAAGGAACTCAAATTTGTGTTTCTTTCCCAGGGCAATAGTGATTGAACCAAGATACTGGTGGCAATCTCTTGAGTTCTAGAGGTTAGGAGCCTCCTGGATCCTCTTGCCCGTTACCCCGGAGGATGCCTGGACTATTGAAATAGCCTGCTGGTTAGTCTTCTTGGGGCACTCTAGTTCCCATTCTACTCCATCCTCCATTCAGTTGTTAAAGTGATCTTTCTAAAGTATAGGTCTGACCACATCACCCTGCCTAGTCAATTAAGTGCACTGGCTCCCTATCACTTCCAAGGTCAAATACAAATTCTTCTGTTTGGTGTTCAAAGCCCTTCATAACCTGCCCCTTTCACCTCCCTTCCCTTTCTAGCATTTTCATTGGACTGTTCTCCCTCCTGGCTTCCATCAAGTCCAAGCTAAAATCTCACCTACTCAGGAAGATTTTCTGGATCCTCCTTAATTCAAGTGCTTTTCCTCTGTTGACTATTTACAATTTCTCCTGTATCTATCTTGTTTGTACATAGCTGTTTACATGTCCCCCCAATTAGACTATGAGCTCCTTGAGAGCAAGGCCTGTCTTTCACTTTTCTTTGGATCCCTAGTGCTTAGTACAGTACCTGGCATACAGTAGGTACTTAATATATGTTTATTGATTGTCTGACAGACTGAAAAAGAAAACCAAAAACTTCTGAGAGAAGATGATCACCACCAGAAAGATGAGTCCAAGACATATGCTAGTTTGCCAGAAGTTGTGGTTTTTAAGTGAGTTGCTTGAACAGAGTGCAGGACCAAAGTGTGTGTTTGTGAGTTCCCAATCCTCCCCTCCCACTACAATATCTTTTGATTTTACATAGCTTTCATCTCCAAATACATTGCTCTAGTACCTCCCAGTGAACTATTTCTTGTAAGAAATAACAAAAAAAAAAAGAGAAAGAAAAATATATCAACCATGTTTGACAGTGTATGCAATGATCCATACTCATGGCTCTCCACATTTGCAAAGAAGGGAAGGAGATGGATTTTCTCATCTCTTTGGTGAGGTCAGTATTGGTCATCATTATTATATATCTACTATTCATTTCTGTGAATATTAGTATGAAATTATTCTGTATTTATTTTAACATGAGTCGCTAAGTTATATTCCAAGGGTCTTCTTGTCTGCTATTTGAAATCCCCTTAATTCTGTTCATCCAACAGAATTAAACTGGCTTTAGGATAACCATTGACATTTCACCAAAGTGGAACTTGGCTATTTTGGCCAAGAAGTAGGAAGGAAGCAAAAACAGTTCTTGCACACTCACAACACAATAGTTACAAGGTTCATGCTCCAAGACTGCTGCAGTGCACTAATAGCAAAATCCCTGAGGCTCTCTCTCACTAGGAAACTATCCATTTGATTATAGAGTTTCTACGACCATCCTGGATAAAAGCAGCAAAAATGTAAGGTGGGTAGTGTTATTTTAAGCGGGGCATGTGGTCACAGGAGGAATTAGAGGAGAGGAGACACAAACACATGAAAAACACACCATTCCAGGACCACTTAGGGTATGAGAAATGTCTTACACCCATCTTATTAGCCCCCAAGGCCATTTCTGTAATACAGAATCAGAATTGCAGAATCTTAGAACTGGAGGAGACTTCCAAATAAAGAGTCAGTCAACAAGCATTTAGTAAAGATTTATATTTTCCAGCACTGTGCTGAGTGCTGGGGGTAACCAACTCACCCCCCCCCCCAGAAAAAAAGGTAAAAATACAGTCCCTGTCTTCAGCTCTCATTATAATTGGGGATAAGGTGAGGAGAGAAAGTGCAAATAAGGACATACAAACACATTAATCTAAGAGGGAAGGCACTTGTAGTGCAGTTGATGAACCAGGAAGAGGTTCCAGCAGAAGGAGAGATTCGAGATGAATCTTGAGCAAACCACAAAAATGAGGAGGTAAAATTGAGGAGGGAGAGCATTCCAGGCACAAGGGCCAGCCGGCCCTGAGGCACAGAGATAGGAGAGGAAGTGTTGTGTTTGAGGAACAGGAACTAGGCCTGTGAAGCTGGAAAGTTCAGAAGGGGCCTGATTATGAAAAGCTTGATAGCTCAAAAGAAGAATTTCTACCTGAGGCAATAGGGATTCACTGGGGAATCCCCATTATAGCATGCCTACAGAGTGGTCACTGGGTTTTTTTTTTCAAAGATTGAAGATGAATCAGCCTATTTCACTTCTACACAGCTCTAAAGGCTCTGATTCTCTGCAACTTCCCTGCACTGGGCACTGTTCCTAATTCTGCCCTCTGAGACCCCCAAGAACAAAGCTAGTCCCTCTTCTTCATGGCAATACTTCCAATACTTGAAGCAAGATATCATGCCCCATCAGGGTATTCCCTTTTAGGACTAGAGATCCCAATTTCCTCCAGTATATCTCCATATAGCAAGATCTTGAGGACCTTTATTATCTTAACTGTTCTTTCCTAAAATATGACACTTGGAAATGAATGTAACACTCCAGATGTAGTCTGACAAGGATAGGACCTATTTGGGGACACTATGCCTCTCTAAACACAGCCTATAATCAATCACCTGAATTTTTTGGATAACATATCTTACTACAGACTCATTTTGAGCAAGAGGTCCACTAGAACCCTCTGGTCTTTTTCAAATGAATTGCTGTCTAGTCATATCTCCTTGCTTAGATAGCACGGTTTAATAACTGGTGTTCATAATGATGACAGATTTATCAGGAAAAGGTTACATTGTGCTCCCTGGACTCTTTTCTTAAAAGGAATGAAAGTGCATAATACATTTTGAGAAAGATTTTTGTCTCAGATGGCTAATGTGAACAATGATGTGGTGCTTAAAGGGATAAGTTTAGCTATCTAGAAAAGGTAGACATTCGAAAGACCTATTCCCTCAGGTATCTGGATAGCCAAACTTATTAGATGTAAGTCTATTAAGTGGAAAAAGAACTGTAATAGGAGTCAGGAGAACTAAGATTAAATTGTGGCTCTTTATACTCATATAATTTTGAGCAAGACATTCTCTACTCTTGTTCTCTTTCTTTATCTATAAAACAAGAGGCCCAGAATAGGTTACCTTTAAGGTCCATTTGAACTCTTAATTTGATTTTCTATGAGGACTCTCAGGTGAGGCAATTCCCTCTACCAAAATAAGTTGGCACTTTCTCTGCCACTTAGAGTCTTGGAGAGTTGCCTAGGATATTGACAGGTTGAGTTATTTAACAAGCATCACACAAAGTTAGTATAGCAACACTTGAACTCAGGTCTTTGTGGCCTTGACGTTAGCTTCTATCCAGTATGCCACATTGCCTCTGAAAATGCAAATAAACATAGGGGAAAAGGAGCTAACTTGTTTTGGTCCCACCTTTGGCATTTAGTGTGACTAAATGTGTGGATAATTATGAAAAATTAAAAGATAATATATAATTAAAAAAGATAATGGGTAGGCTCTTTGAAGGGTACTGTTTTCCTTGGCACCAAATTCAGTGAAAAATTAAGTGCAGAAACACATGGGCACACATTTACTTTCTTTTACATAAAATGTACATTCACTCTGTTCTCAAAACAGTGATTTATGGTTTTATTGTACATATGATCAGATATAACCAGTTAACATGCTATAATGTATGGATAAGTTTAGTATATTTTAATATGTAGGTGATAGCAGTGTATGCTAGTTTTAAAAATATCCTTCCCGTCTGAATGAAATTAAATTGCAGGCAAATTTAATAGTAGTCCTATCTCTTTCCCACCCCCAAAATGAGCAGTTTGGGATGTCAGATTTGCACTTAGGGGCCTCTTTATTTGTAAGGGAGATTCACATTATTAAGGAA